TTGGTTTCTAATTTCCAGCCAGAATTAACTTTTTAATTTTTTATTACAAAAATAGAAATTCTTAAAAAATAAGCCCACATTATAGTAAAATTGGCTCAAAAACAATTTTCATTTAATAGGTGGCTATGATTTATTAGTAAAATTATGAGTAATTCTGGCCTAATTTTTTTTTTGTCGCTTTTAGCCAATTAAAATTGAGGATCTGCTGGTCCAAATTTGTTGCGGCAGCTATGGTTAATGTTATATTACTGACAATCACTTCACTAATAGCTAAGTTTACAAACAATTAATTTACAAAAAGTATATTTCACCAACAATTAACTTATTAACAAGTTTATTTCACTAAAAATTATTTCAATAATAGCTTATTTTACTGACAAATATTTTTTATAAATTACATTAACTTTACACTAATAATAATAACCACAATTACTTTGACAGCAAAATAAGCTATCAATAAAATAATTGTTAGTAAATTAAACTTATTGTTAAGTTAATTATTAGTAAAATGAACTTGTTTATAAATTTATTGTTAGTAAACTAAGTTATTAATAACATAATTGTTGGCAAAATGTGTATTACCTAATTATTTAAAATTAAATTTTAATTAGTTTAATTTATTATTTAATTTAAAATTATTTAGAATATGTCTCAAGCAAATAAAAAATTTGGAGAAAGACCATCTGCAAGTCTTTGAGATATTCATATTAAAAAAGGAAAAGAAGTTTCTAAAAGACATTATCAAGAAACTTGCAATTATTGTTCTTATTCTCAAAATAAAGGATCTTTTCAAGATTTTGAAGAACATTTGGCTAACAATTGTCCTAATGTTCCAAGTGATATTAAACAAATATATTTAAACAAGGTTTTAGCAAGATTTAAAAATCCAAGAGAAGAATCTATTAAAAATATTCATCAAACAAAAATATATGATTTTAATAAAAGTTCTAAACTTATATTAGAAAGGACTAATGAAATTAATAAAGCTTGTGTTAAAGCTTTTGTTATATGTGATATATCATGGAGAGTAATTAGTGATTTATTTTTTAAGCACTTCGATAGATTTCATTATTAACTTGTTTAAAGAAAGAAAGACTAAAATTTTAACAGCAGTGGGCCCTACAG